TAAGGCTTGTGTTTGTCAATTCCACCTCCTCTTTCCTCTGTTGTCTCCTGCCCTGCCCACTCCACTCCCCTTCGGTCCCGCTTTGTCTGGTCTATGTGTAATTGGTGGTAGACAGGGCTGTGCGTTTTCTGGTGGCAAGGGCTGGACTTGGTTCGACTCCACAGGATGCTTTCCTGTTGTGTTTCTTCTCTTAGGCAGTCAGAGGTTTGTGAGTGAAACTTTAGCGCTCATTGCCCAGTGGGGAGTGACTTGGCTCCCATGTCTCTTCTCCATCATCCCGGATATAGGATTGACCATATCACACACGCTGCCTTTGCGTGAGTGTGTAAGTATGTGTGACCATATATTTCCATGTCCCTCTGGACAGCACGGATTATTCCTTTTCCCCTGTTGTTTACGTCTTCCAAGTATTTACAGATGGTCCTGGCCCCTTTTCATAGTCACTGGGCCAGACCCAATCTTGTCATCCTTCCCTGAACTTTTCTAAAGCAGAGATTGTCTTAGAGCAATGTGCGTTTATTTCTGGAAGCTCCCTCTCTGAACCAACGGTCCTGAAGGGACCCTTGAAATAGGTCCCCTGTCTTGCATTCTGGAAGGTGACCTCTTAGTACTGAGGACACTTGAGAGAGGAGATTTTAAGATTCATTTGAAAGGTGACTAAGAAGGGCAGAGGGTGACAATGGCCTCAGATGGATGGCTCCTGGGTCTTCACATATGGGATAAAGCACATGCCCTTTGGTGCTTACTGATTAGTCTGCATGACCTCTAGAAAGTACTGCAGGTACAGTTTGATTGATTGAATGGCTTGCAGAGGCTATAGAAATACTTCTGGGGTAAATTAAAAGAGGGTTGAACAGGTCTAGATATTTTGGTTATTTGCTGCTATGTAACAAATCACCCAGTCCCCCACAAAATAAATGAAGGTTCTTCAAAAAGTTCATGGAAAATCTGTATTAATAAATAAACTGTGCATGGATTTTATTCTTTTAGCACCAAAATAAACTTGAGCTTTAACTCCATTTCCCCACAAGCCTTCTGAATTCCTATCATAATTTACTTTCTTGCTGCATGTCTGTGGGTTGGCTGGGTGGTTCCTTAACTGAATTTACCTGAATTCACTCCTGGACTCATCCAGGTGGGAAATCAGCTTGACTGGAATGTCCAACATGGTCTCCCTCATATGTCTGGCATTGGGGCTGGCTGTGGGCTGAGATGCTTTTGTTTTCCCCTCGCCTCTGCAGCCTCTCATTCTCCAGTAGGCTAGCCTGGCTTCCTTATGTGGTAGTCACAGACCAGCTTCCAGAAAGTCAGTGGAAGCTGCAAAACCTCTGAAGACTTCAGCCAGTCACTCAGCATCACCTCCGACTCCATTCTGTGGGTCAAAGCAGATCAGAGTCAATGTGGAGAGGTTTACACGAGGGCGTCAGTACAGACAGATGCAATTCATGGAGGACCATTTAGCAATGATTCACTATAATGAGTAAACAAAAAATATAGTTTAGAATAAAAGCCAGATTAGCCTATGGCAATGAGAGGTGAATTTCAGAGAAGTGACAGACATCGCTAAGGGCTGGAACCCCATCTCTGCCACTTACTAATTATAGGATCTTGACCAAATTAGTCTGTGTTTCTGTGTTCTCCTTTGTTCAGTGAGGGTAATAATAACATGTATCTTAGAGCTTGTGATGATTTTGGAATAAATTAATATAAGTAAAGGGTCTAGTGCCAAGTCAGGCATATGGTAACTACTCAAATAGACATTAGCCATTTTATCATTCTGTAATGATGGGGTGAGTTATAAATGTGTTAACTTTTCCTGTTCCGAGGCAAAGAGGGAAAAATACTAGATTTATTTAAGATTTGTAGTGTGCTGGGAAGATAGCTCTCATTCAGAAGAAGCTCTGTTGGGTCAAATATACTTGGTGTGAGTACAGCAGATTTGGGATAATCTGCAAATCATCTGATCTGGAAGACCTTCTCACTGTAAAAATAAATTAATTTTTCTCCTTGAGAAAATGAAGAAAGGCAATACTGTCTAGAGGTTAACAAGTGGGGCTTGACTGTCAGAGGCCTTGACTAGAATCCCTACCCCTCTCTCTCTCTGGGTGAGCAAACTGGGGAAAATGATAAATCTCTCCAAATTTAGGTTCCCTGTCTAGGAAACAGGCTTGTTACAGTGCCTTCCTCTCATGGGCAGTCTTATCATATCTTAGTCTATCACCTGGCATGTATTACTCAATTAATATTTGCTCTTGTTGTTATTAGATGTAAAGATGGTTTTAAGGGCTGGCCCCATAGCCTAGTGATTAAGGAAGCTGGCTCCCACCTGGCCGACCATGTGGTTCAAATCCTAACCTTGACAGCTTGAAGAACACTCTGGGCATGTGTGCGTGAGCACATGGCCAAAATCTCAGCAGGATTGAGACATGGAGAAGGGATTGTAGTTTGTAGTATGCTCTATCAGAAGGTGCTTTCCCCCTTTTTCTCTCTGTCTGTCCCTCTCTGATGAGAGCATGAGTCCTCAGGACAATAAAAGATGGTTTAAGGGAGATTTTTCTCTTTGTTGAAGATAAGTTATGTGCCCTTCACAAATGGTTGATAATCAGGCATCAACCCTTCCTGTCTCTTTCTTAGAAGACACCTGAACTCTAACAATACATAATATGTAAGTCACACATAATAAATAATAATACTTGCAAAAATGATAAAATAATAAACCCTGCATCTAACCTTCTCTTTAATGTCATACTACCCTCATTTTTCCAAACCAGTGAGCATTATCATTTTAATGATTTTGTTTTTAACAGAACTTCACGGACCATGAACATTTCACAGTAGCCGCCAAGAGCTTCTAGAAATCCATTAACAGGGTCCAAACCAGGGATTGAACTTCTTCTTAGATGCTCTTTTCCACATGTTCCCTGACTGAGGGGAGTCAGGTTCATCATTCACTCTGCCCTGGAAGGTATCCTCTTCCTCTGGGTCTTGATTTCTGTATGATTTATGGCTTTCAAAGGTTGGCTTGGAGGGTCTTGATTTAAAGCCTCTGTCAGAGGTAGTTACATCACCGTGGTGCCAATAAATGTGGTTTTCTTTGGTTTTGCTCCCCTGTCAGCTCTCTCATGGCATAAAATATGAGTAGGAAAATAAGGCTACCAATTTGGGTAGGGACAATGATTGAAATTGGGGTTGGGAGAGCTATTGAAAAGCTCTTGTGGAATCCTCTTGAAGTTGCCATTGCACCATCCCAGCCAGGGACTGAAGCCAAAATTCTGAGTCTTCAAGAGTCAAAATTCTGGGTCTTCAAAATTTCTTGAGGCCCCTTCCCACTCAGCTTCTGTCTCTTTCCTAAATTGCCTCTAGATGCTATTCTGGTGGTTACAGTTGGGGGCAGATTCCTTAGTCTGATACTTGTCAACTATTTTAGACTTTGCTTTTTCTAGCCAAGGAGATTCTGTTTAAGCTTTGCTGTGTTCACATTATAAAAATGGTTGCTTTTTCTTTTTTTCCAAATTCAGAATTATAGTATGTGTGTTTTAGACAATGTTGCTGTGCCGTGATCTTCTCGCCTCAGTTCCCCAGCAGCTAGGCCCACAGGAGCATGGCATGCCTGCTTTTGAGTAGGCCAGAATCGAATCTGGACCTCCCGTGCATCTCAGATTGCTAGTAGTAATACCCAGTGCATGATCCCATGGCTGGACCTCAAAATTATATTTCAGGGGGTCTAGTCAGTGGCATATCAGAAACAAATGGATCTGCATGAGAAAGAAAGGTCCTGGGTTTATGTCCTGATACCTCCCTGAGCACACTGGACATGCACGAATGTGCCCTTGATCCAAGTCAGCTGAGATGAGGTGGATTAGCATGAGGGCCCTGTTGGGAATCTCTGTGTGTGTGTCTCTCTCTCTTGCTTGGAATAAATAAACATTTTTTAAAGAATTATTTATCTTAATTCCACATATTATGATTTATTCTGACAAGAGAGAGAGACACAGAGAAAGGGAGAGGGAGAAAGCAAGCCACCAGGTCCAGAACTTGAACTGTAGTCGGCCATATGGGAATCCAGCGTCCTTAGCCACCATGCCACCTGCTGGCCCAGAATAAATAAACTTTAAAAAATTTATTTTAATAGTGATTATTCTATGCATACCTGCCTCTTGGCCTTTAGATAGTTTTACACTCCTAAGGAAATATTAATATTCCCCTTATTCTGTAAGAAGTGCTGGGCTATTGTTTTTTGATAGCACTGAGAAGAAGATGGCTATCCCATCATCTGACTGCTTTCTGAACAGCCCCTTTGAGCTGGCCATGCCTGGCCCAGGGTCCCATACATTGTCTCAGCCCAGGCCTGGCTCCGAGGAAGGCAAGCGTGGCTGCTCAGACATGTTCACATGTTCCTGAGGTCAATAAGTGCCGACACCTGCCTGCTGAGCCCGTTTTCTCTCTCTTGGATGGAAACAGCATTGTGTACTTGGTTTAAGTCCATTCAGCCTCCTTTGTCCAACCATGAAGAGTGGGAAGGAGCCAATGTTGGGCCCTGTTTCTACTCCTTTTGAGTATTGAGCATCACTCCACATGAGGTTGGTGGCCCGTGGCTTACGAGCATCCACAGACACAGCTTGCAGGACAGCCAGGCTCCTGCCCTCGCATCTCCTAGAGCCAGTGGACAGGACATCAGCAGGTACCACTCTAAATCACTCTCGGGAGCAAGCTGAAGCCCTGAGAAGGAGCAGCTCTGGATCCCTGGCTGGCTCGTGGCTGCATAGCACCCACTCGGCAAGAATGCTGAAGAATCCTGGCAGCAGAGATGGCCACAGGGAGGCTTTGGCCTCCAGCCCCCTCCCCATGGGCTGGCGTGGGAGACACAATTCTTGTGGTGATTCATCAGCCAAGTCTTGGGACCAGGCCTGGTCCTTGCTGTTTACTTTGAGTGCTGGGCAGGGAAGGCAGGGATAAGCCACAGGAGTGATAGTCACCACAGGCTGTTTCCTCTCTTGCAGAAAAAGTCCATTCGTGTGACCAGGAGAGGCAGAGTGCCCTGGAAGAGGCCCGGCAGAATCCCCGGGAGGGCATTGTCATCCCCGAGTGTGCCCCTGGGGGGCTCTATAAGCCAGTGCAGTGCCACCAATCCACCGGCTACTGCTGGTGTGTGCTGGTGGACACAGGGCGCCCGCTGCCTGGGACCTCCACACGGTAAGCCAACCCAGAGTCTGGGGCCTGGGACATGAGGACCAGCTTCTTGTTGTGGTGGCATCTCCAGTTTTACTGTCCTGACTGAGTGAGAGTCAAGTCTCGAGAGGAGCAATTTTTCCATTCATGAAAAGACAAGGGTCTGATAGAAAGACAACGGGACCCAAATTCTGGCCATAGACCTGCCCCTTTCTAGCCGGAAACCTTGAAAAAGTACTTAACCTCTCTGAACCTCAGTTTCCTGATGAGATTATTGCCTTGCCCGGCCACTAGTTCTCTGGATCAAAGAAGATCCCATGTGCTAATCTAAGGTGACATGGTTATTATGCTCGAGCGGCTACAGCTACATGCCTCGTGGCTGCTGGACAGTGCAGGGGCTATTTGGCTGCCAACCCCTGGTGCTCTAGGCTTACTGACAACACAGATCATCTCTGGGCAGTCGTGGCTGAAGTAAGCTCTATTGCCAACCCCTCCCCCCACCGTATGCCTCTCTTCGCAGCTACGTGATGCCCAGTTGTGAGAGCGATGCCAGAGCCAAGAGTGCAGAAGTGGATGACCCCTTCAAGGACCGGGAGCTACCAGGTGGGAGATGATGCTGCCCCTGCTGGCGCCCACACGTCTTTCTGTTCCTCAAGCCCCTCACCATGCAGAAGCAGTTCTTGAGTCTGCTTTCCCCCTCTGTAAGACAGAGCAGGGGATGCCATGCCAGATGCCAGGCAGGGGCATCACAGGAACCATGGAATCTACATCCCTTTCTGAGATTTGCTCCTAACTAGTCCTAAGTCCTTGAGCTTTCCTCCTTGCTCATGCCTATTTACCTTTGAAATATAGTCACGGGGTTAAATTGCTATCCCTGCAATTCTACAACCCCCTCTCTATCGAAGGCAATTGGGATAATGTTTTCAAAGCTGTAACCGTATTTTCCAGGGCTGTGAAGACAAGAGAGTTCTAGGGAGAGACTGTCCTGAGGGGTGTGGGCCATATATGCCACCTGCCCTGCAGGATACTTTCATGATGATCCCTGGTGCCATAGGATGGTGAAAGGATGAGACACAAGACACACAGCAGGATCTGCAGGACCTTGAATGGCTGCTGTGCTGAGTTTTCTTTATTTATAGCAATCCCAGCTTAGTTCAGGGTTACAATAAGATTATTCATTATAATTAAAGATAACAGTGGCTTGGGCTCCTATTATCTTTACTCATTATAAGATCAGATCAGTGTTGGTGGGACCTGGGCCATCTTTCATGATCTGTCCATACAGCAAAGAGAGAACCGACAGCAGAGTCCTAAAAGTCAGAGGGTTTCCATTGGAAGGTTCGTAGAAATCATCCTGTCACAGGATGGAGTCATGGAGGCCAGGGCACCTACCAGCTTCTAACTATCCTCTCAACAATGTGAATTGAGACGCTACTGTGTGCCAGGCACTGGGTATAATGGAGTGCTCAAAACAGACATGAGGGGAAACAGCAGTTAGTGTAATGGCTATGTCGCTGGACTCTCACGTAGTCGACCATGGTTCGCGTCCCGGACCTGGTGGCTTAAAACTCACGCCGGGAGCGTGTGCGTGCATGCGTGCGTGCCCAAGATCCTGAGAGGAGAATGAAGGAGAAGGGATTGCGGCGTGACCATGCCCCCTAGGGGGTGATTTCTCGCTTTCTGTCTCTATGTCTCTCTCTGTCTGGCGAGTGCACACGCCCTGTAGCGAAAATCTCTCCAAAACAACAACAACAACAACAACAACAACCAGCCATGAGACTTACAGAGTGGAGGACACAGATTGCATACAAACAGATGAATGTGTATGCATATAAATAGTCATGGCAGGTACTACGAAGGTAAAAACCAAGGTGCCATGAGGAGGCAGGGAGAGCCTACTTTAGGTTCCACGGCTTTTCTGAGAAGGTAGCATACAGAGACTTGGAGAATTGGAGAGAGAAGAGAATGAACAAGTTGCTGCTGAAAGGAGACTTGTGGGTAATGTTGAAGGGCCTTGTGGTGCTTATGATCATGAAATTTTAAGGACACCCACCTAGCCAGTTGGTTGCATAGTGGTGTTTTCCCCATTCCTTCTCGACTACATGGATGCAGCTAAGGACAGGCAATTCTATGAAAAAGTTCACCCATACTTAGGGTTCTGCTGGAAGGGTTTTTCCATGAGGAAATAGATGAACAGAAGATTTGAGAGCATTTAAAAGGGAGATTCTACAACTATAATCTAAACTAGATGAGGGAGGGAAGTGAGAAAAAAAGGAGGAAGTTCTTGGCTAAATAAAATGATAGGTCTACTTCAATCACCTTTGATGATTAGGGAACACTTCCTCTGTGTGCTCACACAGGACCCGAGTCTTACCCCTAGAGGAGCACTTCGCACAGTTAGGGCAACGCGCTGGACAGTGGGCTGAGTTCCCCAGTACACCGTGAACCTCACAAGGATAAGGACCATGTGTTTCACTCACTAGTGCATCTACAGCACTGAAAATAGTCCCCGAGTTGGTACTCAGCACATATTTGTGGAACTGAAGAACATTGAAAGCATTATTATTTATTTGGTGTGATGGTCCCTATGGAGGGATCATCTATTGGAGTTATGGAAGTTTATAAAAATTACCTGAGTGGTAAACAAACCCCAAAAGTGTATTTGACTGATAAGAAAAATTTTGAAGCGGTTGGGAAAGGTTGGTGATTAAGAAGGGTGTTTACTTGATGGTTTACCTGGCATCTGCCTTCAAATCTCATTTATCTTTTAGGCTGTCCAGAAGGGAAGAAAATGGAGTTTATCACCAGCCTACTGGATGCCCTCACCACTGACATGGTTCAGGCCATTAACTCAGCGGCGCCCACTGGAGGTGGGAGGTGAGAATGTGATCAGGCCCCGCCCCAGCAGGGAAGGTAGGGCCCACTTTTCAAAGGCTGAGGGAATATGGGAGGATGTCTAGGGCTTGGATAAAGCAAGGGCTGGAATCCTGTCCTTTTCCTAAAACCAAGCACCCTGGGCTTTGTCCCACCTTCTGCCCAAAATCTTCCTGCCCCACTCCCTTCCCTATCCTTTGGGAGCTGCTTTTTATTTCCCAATTTACAGGCAAGTAGAGGGCTGCATGGAGACTTCTAGCTGTTTAATCTCAGTAGGGCATGTGTGAGGATTAGAAGCCTGAATAGCACAAAAGGTGATGGGCTTGTGGTGGAGGCTGGGAGGGCAGGGAGACAGTATAAAGCACTTGTGGTTTTCTTCTCTTCTGAGAAGGCAGGAGTCATGTGCCTTTGGGTATCCAAAGAAGCTCTAGAATTGGACACTTGCAAAGCCCATTCCATCTTAGTTCAGGAGGTGATATGGAAGCAGGCAGAGGTAGTCTGGACGTGAGGCTGAAATGCTCACACTCTCTAGCCTCTCAGGCGCTGCTTAGATCAGCAAGTTGTAGCATGCACACATGTAACCCTCTGCTTGGCACCTTTGGAGCATGCATGACATGCCAAGCCCTAGGCTAAGGACAGTTTCCAGGGATATGAGGCCTGTTCCCGCATCTGAGGAATGCAGCCTAGTGGAGATACTAGCCTGTACACAGATACTTACAAACATGGTAAGTGCTAGGACAGACGTAGAAGAACAAGGAAGGGTTGTCTAACTCTGGAAAAGTCAGAGAAGGCTTTCTGGAGAAGGTGAGAGCTGAGCTGAATTTCAAAGGATCTGCAGGGCTTAACCAGTCAAATAATAGAGAAAGTCATTCCAGAAAGAAGGAAAGACTATTGAAACTCCAAGAAGGGCACATCTGTAGTTCAGTAAGGCTGGGCTGGGGTGGGTGAGCATGGAGTGAAGGGAGAGTGGTGATGATGAGATGGAACTGGCAGGCAGGAACCAGATCCCAAAGGGCCTGTCAGACATGCTAAGTAGGACTTGGTTATGAAGCCATAAGGTGAGGTATGGCAGGGGCCGGGGTCTGAGGGCAGGGGCTAGAGTATTCAGGCTCTTACAGCAGCAGAGGAGGTCCTATGTGCTTGGCGGGGATGGCCAGCCTGCCTCTGAGCTCAAGTAGCTAGCCAAGGAGGGGAAGCTGCTTTCCAGAATCTGTCCAGAGGCAACTGTGGTCAATACGGTAAAGAATGTTGCTAGGAGATAGGCCCAGGCCCCTGCTTGGCCTCCTCAGGGCAGCAGAACCATAGGGTGTGTATTTGGGGGAGAGGTCCAGGACTCCAAATACAGCTGTCAGTGATCTGCATCCTGAAGGAGATGGAAGTGGCTGTCTTGGGAACCCAAGTTTATGTTGTATCAAAGTGAGTGCACACAATGGCCAAGATGTCACTGATGGATGAATAGATAGCGGAAGTGTGGTGTCTGCATACACCAGGATGTTATTCAGTCATAACGAAGAAAGGAATCTTGGCATATTGAGGACACTGTGCCAAGTGAAATCAGCCAGTCACCGAAGCACAAATAGTGCATGATTCTACTTACACGAGGTATCTGACACAGGCGTACACCATCAGGGAGGGGAATGCAGTTGCCGGGACTACGGGAAGAGGGCAATGGGGAGTTGCTAATCAATGGGCATTAAGTTTCAGGCAAGCAAGATGAGTGAGCTCTAGGGCTCTGCTGTGCAATACTGTCCCTAGAGTTAACTGTATTACACTTAAACTTTCATTAAAAGAGCAGATCTCAGGACCAGCAGTTGGCATAGTGGCTATGTCGCTGGACTCCCATGTAGTTGACTGTGGTTCAAGTCCCAGGCCCCAGTGGCTTAAACTCACTCTGGGCGCGTGTGCGTACATGCGTGCCCAAGATCCTGAGAGGAGAATGGATGAGAAGGGATGTGGTGTGGCCATCCCTCCAGGGGGCTGATTTCTTCCTTTCTGTCTCTCTGTATTTCTGGTGAGCGCACGTGCCCTATAGCAAAACAAAACAAACAAAAAAACTCTCAAAAAAAAGGGGGGGGGGTTAGATCTCATAGGATGTGTGCTTACCACAAAAACGTAGAACTTTTTTAAAAAGAAAGAAGAAAGAAAGAAGAAAACGTAAGTGCTGTGGTTGCTGCTCTCAGAAGCTGCTCGTCCAGGGTGCTTGCTCAGGCGCTCACAATCCCATGAGCTCAGAGGCTGGGGTCTGGCTGTGGCTCTGTTGCAGCTCACCCCGTGGGCAGGGACCAGGTCCCCTCACAGCACAAGCTTCACGAAAGACAGAGATAGGCTCTGACAGGTCACAGATGGGAGCTGCTGTGAGGCAGCCTAAGGGCTCAGCAAGTCTATGTTGGAAATAAAGAGGACCCCACTGGATCACCAAGAAGAGGGGCGGAGGGAATTTTGAAATGGCATTTTCAGTATTATATGCCTTTATGTATTTATATGTAGAATATTAAAAATTCCTGATGCTTCATGGAAAAACAAGCGTGTGTGTGTATTAGAGCAGGAGAAAAAGGAGGGGGTGTGGGCTTAAGAAGTCCAGTTCTGTGGGACCAGCAGTTGGCATAATGGCTATGTCGCTGGACTTCCATATAGTCGACCGTGGTTTGCATCCCGGACCCGGTGGCTTAAACTCACACTGGGCACGTGTGCATGCGTGCCCAAGATCCCGAGAGGAGAATGGAGGAGAAGGGATTGTGGTGTGGCCATCCCCCCTGGGGGGTGATTTCTTGCTTTCTGTTTCTATGTTTCTCTCTGTCTATCTGGCGAGTGCCTCTCTGTCTATCTGGTGAGTGCTCCCGCCCTATAACAAAAACCTCTCCACAAAAAAAAAAAAAAAAAAAAAAAAGAAGTCCAAGTCTGGGTGCTTCCCGTTTAGGATTCCTGATGGCTGCTGGCTCGATCCAGCAGTTCTCCTTCAGCCCAAGGAGATAAAACTTCAAGCCCTACCTGGTTTATTTCCAGGAGAGCCCCAGGCTTGGAGCACTGTGTGGCTATCCTACAGGCAAGGGAAGACGGAGGTTCCTGCTGCCAGGGATTGTGCCTTATCCTCACTTTGCAGGCTGAAGGGATTTTTACAGACACTCCCAACTAGGATGCTTATGATGTTTTTCATACCAGTATGCCCTCTGGATTTTTTCCCCTTCTCTTTTAGGTATAATTTAGAGTTGGGAGAAGTCTTAAAAACATATTCTTTCCAACCTGCGTTTTTCATTTAAAACTCATGTTATGCTTGCTTTTGATGGGGATGAAAGGTTTGAATTACTTTAGGTAGCAGTGTTACTTGGGAGCTGAACTTTTAATCAAAAGACAGACAGGATGGACCAAGAAATAGCCTCAAAATCAGGGACGGGAGAGAGGCAGGCAGAGGAGGAAAGAGAGAGACGTGCAGCTGCTCAGTGAGGTGGTCTGCCAGTGTTAGCAGCCCTTCCGGGTTTGAAGCCTTCCCAGATTCCCGTTACATTTAGAATAGGCCCTAACTCTTACCTGGCCCTACAGGATGGCCTTGCTGTCCTCTTGCCCTCCCTGCATATTCCTCTCCCTCCTGCCACTGTGTTCCAGGCAGAGTCCCCCTTCTTTCCTCTGCCAGGTCAAGCTCTTGCCTGCCCCCAGACCTCCATAACAGCTGCTCCGTCCGCTAAGAATGTGATTCCTCATCTCCCCATGGCTGGTCCATGCTTGTTCACTTAAATGTCACCTTCTCAGAGACCACCAACCGGAAGGAGCTGGCCAGTCACCCTCTGTCAGAGCGCTATGTGAGCTCTCTGCCTGGCACTTGCCCCTTCCTGACGTTTCATTGGCTTAAGTATTGCTCTTTCACCCCTTCCCATGAGAAGTTAAGTTCCATGAGAAAAGGAGCATTCTATCTTTTTCCCTGTTGTATTCCCAGAACCTAGACCAGTACCTGGCACATAGTAGGTGCTCAGTAATACACCTTAGACAAATAGACATCTAGAAGGACAGTAGGTGAGGGGAGAGATTCCTGTCTGATATGGAGGCCTCTTGATCTAACACTCATCAGAGGCTGTGCTGACTGCGTCAAGACTAAACAACTCTGGACTCAGGCATCAGGTTCAAGTTCACTGGCACTTCTTTGTAACCTGGCTCTACAGCCGACATGCTGGGACTGGGGCTTGAGACGTTGTGTGCACTGACCATGGCTAGCCACTCTCTTCTACATGGAGGGACAGAGTCACAGGGCAGCTGGAGATTAGAAGCACATCAGGAATAGGGCTGATGAAGAGAATTAGAGCATTGGCTTTGACTTTGAAATTCAGGCTGAGTAAGGGGTACAGGCATGAGGTTAGGGAGGATACATCCATTCTCTCCTGCAACCTCTCAGGGTCTGGCAATTAAAGTTAGGCATCAGCTTGGGCTGGGGAAAACAGTTCCACTTGGGGAGAGGGAAGATGTTTGGGCAATATAGAAAAGAGCGTGTCTTCCCCTGACTCTACTGCCTGTCAGATTGGAGATTTGGGGGGGCGGCAG